GACTGATAAAACGGAAATTTAGTTTCTGTATTCTAACCAGGGCGGTGGGGGGGGGGCTGGGTAGACTGAAAAATGGAAATTTAATTTCTGTGATCTAACCAGAGGGCTAGGGTAGACTGATAAAACGGAAATTTAGTTTCTGTATTCTAACCAGGGGGGCTGGGTAGACTGGAAAATGGAAATTTAATTTCTGTGATCTAACCAGAGGGCTAGGGTAGACTGATAAAACGGAAATTTAGTTTCTGTATTCTAACCAGGGGAGGGGGGGGGGCTGGGTAGACTGAAAAATGGAAATTTAATTTTTCGAGTTGTGGCGATGGATGTGGCGAATGTAATCCAAATATTAATATACACTCTTCCTCTTGGAAAACCCCCCAAAAGATCGAATAAATTATAATCGCGTTTCAACAGCAAAAAGTGTTCACACTAGAAGAATTAACGTCGTATTATTTAACACGTTCCAAGCCTTAACTGCCGCTCACTCCACGATCAATTTGAGTACGAAACTGAATCGTATGAAAATAATGATTTATTTTTCTGCGGAAAGCCCGCAAGTACCGATTTTATTAGGTTTATAAACGAGTGACCATTAATACTAAGGTATATAATGAATTTTGCCAATTAAAACTGTGGTTCGAAGCACTAGAAGTTCCCAAAACGTCTACATATCTACGCATGCGCATGAGCAAGTCCCGAAGAGCTAGATCTACCTGCGAAAGCCATGAGGTGACTAAGACTGTCTGACGACACGCACGCGACCGGTCGGCTTATGAGAGGCATTGTATTGATCAAGGACGAATTCGGAGAACCAATTGAAGAATTATCACTAACAGATTGAAAGGCTAAAAACATGAAAGCGTTATCGAATTTGATATCCGTGTTTGTACTTTTTTGCTGCATGGAAGAACGGAAAGGTGAGATTCAGTAAGTTTCAGGAATTTACTGTCCTGTAAAATTTTTTTCTAAATGTGAATTTCCACAAATAATACGTGATTTTGTGGCTCTAACTGTCATAAATTTGATAATACGTGATTTTGTGGCTCTAACTGTCATAAATTTGATAATACGTGATTTTGTGGCTCTAACTGTCATAAATTTGATAATACGTGATTTTGTGGCTCTAACTGTCATAAATTTGATAATACGTTTTTTTGTGGGTCTAACTGTCATAAACTTGATTTTAATACTTGTATCTAGGTGTTATGTATTCCTTTAAATATAATAGAAAAAACAACTTATATCTAGGAGCTTCTTTCCAACTTTATATGACAACAAAACACACGTGAAAGCACGTTCTGTAATATGACAGTGAATTAAGTTCAGTCAGATATGACTGAATAACATTGATCTCTTTACCACTCTTCACTCAGTGACTTAATATTATTAATTATACCTGCAATTTGGATATAAAGAATGATTTGTATTAAATATATACAAGTCTGTCATATATATAAAGAACGAGATACGTTTAACAAGCTTTGTGTTTTCTCTCACATATAATAGAAAATTGTATGTATTTAACTCTGTCATATATATAGAACGAGATACGTTTAACAAGCTTTGTGTTTTTTGTCACATATATAAAATCGTATGTATTTAAGTATTTGGTGCACTTGGAACTAACTATGTTTGGGAAGTTATTTTCTTGTATATCACAAATTACATGAAAGTTACAGTATGTGATGTATTAAGAGACCTTCATTTATTAGCTTTGTTTTTTTTTTTCTTGACGTACGTCGTATTAAATGTGCAGAAAAATGCAGGAGGGTTTAAAAATTAATGGTTATTTTTATAGTGCCTTTTGATACATTTCTTATGTAAAAATCATTAGAAGGAACAACCACGTGATAAAATGTCTTGCGTTACTACAGTTACCAAATAGAACTTGACTATTACTTTTGGTATTAGATGTTTTATAAACTACAAAGGCGTTCTAGAACAGTCGACATCTCTTTGAAGAATTGTTTTCAATCATAAAATTATATTAATTCTGTCTTGATTTTACTTAAACACTTCGGAAGAGAAGAAAAGCATGGTACTTACCGTATAATAAATAACCACCAAACAAGTAACAGTAATTAGGTTTATAACTAAGGAAATGGCATACGTTAATGCATAGAAAATTTTATATAAATGTTTATGCCGTATAAGGGATTAGAAATTGTAACCGCACACGTGCTAATGTGGGATAGAATGGGTTTATTATGCAAGTATTGCTCTAAACGTGTTAATAACACGTGGACGATTGTAATCAGACTCCGTTTAATCTTAACAGATATACCCTGTCTGCTACTATTTTCAACAGACATATATGTATATATATATGCACGTGCTGACCAGCTGTGTAATATGTGTTACGCCGAGTTGCTGACGTGCCTGCGTTTACACATTTCGCCGTGTTGTTATCCACGAAGTAAGAGGGTGTATGGGTGTATGTGTGTGGAGAATAAAGAATAAATAGGGTATTTAAATACGGTTCACCCTGTTTATCGTAATTTCAATTACTCGCAGTAAAACTGAAACAAGATGTGGTTTCATATGGCTAGCATTCTTAAAATACACGTCATAGTCTATCAGTAATGGAATCCTAATAAATAGAAAGAGTGCAAAGGAAATGTTTTACATGTCGTATTGCAACATTAATAGTTGAACCAGAGACGGTTAGTTTGATAAATTAATTGTTTGTTTGTTTTGAATTTCGCACAAAGCTACACGAGGGCTATCTGCGCTAGCCGTCCCTAATTTAGCAGCGTAAGACTAGAGGGAAGACAGCTAGTCATCACCACTCACCGCAACTCTTGGGCTACTCTTTTACCAACGAATAGTGGGATTGACCGTCACATTATAACGCCGCCACGGCTGAAAGGGCGATCATGTTTGGTGGGAGGGGTATTCGAACCCGATTGAGAGTTGAACACCCTACCCATCTGGCCATGCCGGGCCATCATGTTACGATGAAGAAAAGGAAGAAAAGGACAGTAAGTCACGTAAAGGATTGGAAGATGTACTTTATGTCAGAAAAATTACTCAGTAAAGAAAACTAGCGAAACTAACTTGGTCGAAGATTACTATAATCTGGACAGGTTTCTTGAAGACTTCGGATTAAGACTGTTTTACGGTCTTTATATTATCGAATTCTTTAACCCAGTTTAAAAATCTAGATTTATCTTTTAGCTATGTAATATTAGGAAAGAGAGTTAAAAGTAGAAGCTCTGAAAAGAACAGGCTTTACTAATTAATGGTAACGGCTGATAACGTTCAAAAACTAATGGGTTTTGTTAGAAGATGTGAGCTGGGTTTTCGCTTACTGTGACCAAAAGGAAGTCTATATAGTGTTGTTTTATTTATAAAAGTGGGGAAAATAGGTTTGTTGGTTGCAGGTTCGAATCCCTCTCACCGAATATGCTTGTTCTTTCCGCCGTGGAGGCGTTATAAAGTGATGGTCATCCCACTATTCGTTGGTAAAAGAGTCGCCCAAGAGTTGGCGGTGGGTGGTGTTGAGTAGCTGCCTTCCCTTTATCCTTGTTAAATTAGGGACGCCTAGCGCAGAAGGCCCTCGAATAACTTTACGCGAAATTCAAAAAACAATCAAACAAACAAATAAACACATTCTACACAAGGAATAGTTATGTTATATGTTTGGTTTTGTTAGCCTTCAATAGATCAATATGATATTACTTATTCATTTCTGTCAAAAATTCACATTACACATGGATGTTGTAAGTGTTACATTGCTTGATGATTTCTCACAGTACACACGGATTCCTTTCTTTATCCACAATGGCCACAGTACACAGGATTCATTTCCTTCTTCACAGGCCCGGCATGGCCAGGTGGTTAGGGCGCTCGACTCGCAATCTGCGGGTCGCGGGTTCGAATCCCCATCCCACCAAACATGTACGCCCTTTCAGCTGTGGGGGCGTTATAATGTGACGGTCAATCCCACTATTCGTTGGTAAAAGAGTAACCAACTGTTGGAGGTGGGTGGTGATGACTAGCCGCCTTCCCTATAGTCTTTCACTGCAAATTTTGGATGGCTAACGCAGATAGCCCTCGTGTAGCTTTGCGCGAAATTCAAAACAGACAAACAAACAAACCTTCTTCACAATGGCCAGAGTACACAGGATTCCTTTCCTTTTTCAGAATGGTCACAGTACACAGGATTCCTTTCCCTTTTCCCGGCCCGGCATGGCCAGGTGGATAAGGCGCGTCGACTCACAATCTGAGGTCGCGGGTTCGAATCCGCATCCCACCAAACATGCTCGCTCTTTCAGCCGTGGGGGCGTTAGTAATGTGACGGTCACTCCCACTATTCGTTGGTAAAAGAGTAGCCCAAGAGTTGGCGGTGGGTGGTGATGACTAGCTGCCTTCCCTCTAGTCTTACACTGCTAAATTAGGGACGGCTAGCGCAGATAGCCCTCTTGTAGCCTTGCGCGAAATTCCAAAAACAAACAAACAAACAAACTTTCCTTTTTCACAATGCCCACAAGACACAGGATTTCTTTCCTTTTTCACAATGGCTACAGTACACACGGATTCCATTCCTTCTTCACAATGGTCACAGTACACAGGATTCCTTTCCTTTTTCACAATGGCCACAAGACACAGGATTTCGTTCCTTCTTCACAATGGTTACAGTACATACGGATTCCATTCCTTCTTCACAATGACCACAGTACACAGGATTCCCTTACTTCTTCACAATGACTACAGTAAACACGGATTCCCTTACTTCTTCACAATGGCCACAGTTCACAGGATTCCTTTCCTTCTTCACAATGGCCACAGTACACACGGATTCCTTTCCTTCTTCACAATGGCCACAATATACAGGGTTCCCTTACTTCTTCACAATGACCACAGTACACGTAGGTTTCTTGTTTTATTCTAAGATGACCACATCTAGATGTAATTTCCTACATGCTCCATTCAAGTAAGTTACATTTACATGTTGACATTTTATTCCTGTTTATACAATGCTTTTTTTTTTGCAATGGCCATACTTTGTGATGGATTCCGTTCTTCTGAAATAAGTAAATAGTGTTGTTTCCTAACCCACTCCTACTGGCAACAGAAGTATTACTAATATGATTTTGAACAATAAAACTTTCATACTAACTTCAATACATTAATCCCAAAAGAATCATTAATGACATAGTTCTTCCTTCTACCATCTGGGATTATTGACAGATTGCTTTGAGTTATTTTGGGATTAGTAACAGATTGCTTTGAGTTATTATGGGGTTATTAACAGATTGCTTTGAGTTATTATGGGATTGTTAACAAATTGCTTTGAGTTATTATGGGATTGTTAACAGATTGCTTTGAGTTATTATGGGATTGTTAACAGATTGCTTTGGGTTATTTTGGGATTAGTAACAGATTGCTTTGAGTTATTATGGGGTTATTAACAGATTGCTTTGAGTTATTATGGGATTGTTAACAGATTGCTTTGAGTTATTATGGGATTAGTAACAGATTTCTTTGAGTTATTATGGGATTGTTAACAGATTGCTTTGAGTTATTATGGGATTAGTAACAGATTGCTTTGAGTTATTATGGGATTAGTAACAGATTGCTTTGAGTTATTATGGGATTAGTAACAGATTGCTTTGGGTTATTTTGGGATTAGTAACAGATTGCTTTGAGATATTATCTTAAGTTTCCTTAACGCTAAAAACAGGATTTCGATGGCAGATGCAGTACAAAGATACCACTATGAAGCATTGTGCTTAACAAACAAACTTAAGTTCGTTACTCCGCGTTACAGACTTTAAGAGTTACATAATGCAATATTTGTTCTTTTAAAGAGTTTATTTGTTTGTTATGAATTTCGCGCAAAGCTACACGAGGGTTATCTGCGTTAGCCGACCCTAATTTAGCAGTGTAAGACTAGAGGGAAGGCAGCTAGTCATCACCACTCACCGCCAACTCTTGGGCTACTCTTTACCAACGAATAGTGGGATTCACCGTCACATTATAACGCCCCCACTGCTGAAAGGGCGAGCATGTTTGATGGAACGGGGATTCGAACCCGCGACCCTAAGATTGCGAGTAGAGCGCCCTAACCACCTGGCCATGCTGGGCCTCTTGTAAAGAGACAGATGTAGCAAGTGATTACGGTAATTTCGATGGTATGTGCCTGTTTTTCAGCCATTTATAGGTACATATATAAAGAGATAAATTTTACGCTCTTTAAACATAAAGCGTAGTAATAATTTTGTTTTTATTTCATCCTTTAAATAACAGAAAATAGTAAAACACACATTCGTGATGAAATATAACAATGGTACAAAAATACTTATTCTATAAATTGGTTTTCCTTACTTTTAAACATGTTTACATTACGTAGTAGTTTTCTTTAAGGACCAGTATGGTCCATCTTAATTTATATAACTATGTTTTTATAAGATCAAAATTTAAACTTTACCTGTCTTGTGGCTAACGAGAAAGGACTATAAAATTAAACACATACATATCATGCACTGTTGACGAGGGCATTTCGTTATTTGAGTGAGTAGATACAAGTATTGTTTTTTAATGATACCCCAATTTAAGTGGCTGATGTGTAGCCTTTTTGAATTGAAAATTCGAGTCTCATTCTTTCGCACGTAGAACTTTTTCTTCTTCTTCTGAATGTGAGGGAATGGTCTAGTGGTTAGGGAGTTAGGCTGCTTATCGGAAGGTCCAAAGTTCGTACTGCGATGCTTCTGAATAAATGTTCTCCGGTGGAGCAGTGATAAGTTTAAGGACTTGCAATGCTAAAATCCACTGTTTGATTCCATCGAAGTGGACACGGCGAACTCTGAACAAGCCCTTCACCTTCAGTTTAGGTGCGATATAAAAGTAACAATCTATCCCGTTATTCAGTTCAAACCTGGACAAAGTCTTTGTGTTGGGGCGCTGCTGACTGGATGCTTTCGCT